AGGAGGAGGAAGAGGAAGAGGATGAGGCGGAGGAGGGTTGCGAAGGAGGGCGAAAATGGACATGGGTGACGCGGGAGGTGTGGTAGGGGTGTAGCAGGGGCGGCGGAAGGAGCAGGAAATGCTTGGATCAGGGAGGGAGCATGTTCGAGAAATGGATGGACACCAGGGTACATGAGGAGATTTAAAGTGACCACCCCCTCCGAAGGGAGCTTTACCCTCTGCCAGGGTCAGTTGAAAACCCACTCGTACTGCATTTCGAGTTTGCGTATGTCCATGTGTTGTGTATGCGTTGCGACTACCAGTTGCACGTCCGGGTCACGGTGTCCTGGTGTTCATTCAAGTCCAGACCACGTAGTTCCACGATTCGAAGTATCGAACACGCGTAGGCCGAACCTTCGCCGCTCCCTGCCTTTTGAAATCGCCTATGTGGCCAAACGTTGGAACAACGTATGGTCAACATGTTAGACTATGTGTTCCTCCCATGGGGGATGCCTTTGGGAGTGCACTTTGGGGAGGAAGAGGGATATAGAGAGAGAGAGAGAGCGAGAGATATGCATGAGCAGGAGAGGGAGTAGACGGAGGGCGATGATGGTGATGGTGATGATGATGATACTGGTGATGCTGCTGCTGATGATGATGTTGATGATGATGATGATGGTGATAACGACGATGATGATGATAATTATGATGATACTGATGATGATGATGGTAATGATGATTGTAATGATGGTGATGATGAGGAGGGGGAGGAGGAGGAGTATCATGATGATACTGATGCCGATGCTGGTGATGATGACGACGACAGCTACGACGATGACGACGCTGCTGATGATGTCGACGATGATGCTGCTGATGATGATGATGCTGCTGTTGCTGATGATGATGCTGCTGCTGCCGCTGATGATGCTGCTGATGATGCTGATGCTGGTGATGATTGTAATGATGGTGGTGGTGGTGGTGGTGATGATGATGATGATGCTGACGATGCTGATGCTGATGCTGCTGTCGACGCTGACGATGCTGATGCTGATGATGAGACGATTATGATGGTGTTGGTGCTGGTAATGCTGGTGATGATGGTAATAATGCTGCTCATGATGATGCTTATGATGAGGATGATGATGGTGATGGTGATGGTGATGGATGGTGGATGGTGGAGGATGATGGTGACGATGTCGATTCCGCAGATGATGATTCTGATGAAGCTAATGATGATGACGAGGCTGATGATGAGGACGACGCTGCTGCTGCTGACGACGATGCGTATAATGATGACGGTGCTGATCCTGATTATGATGATGCTGATGATGTCAACGATGATGATGCTGCTGATGATGTTGATGATGCTTCCGATTATGGTGTTGTTGCTGATGATGCTGATGATGCTGATAATGATGACGATGATGATGGTGATGACGAGTTCGTTGTTGTTGGTGAGCATGGGGATGTTGATGATGATGAGCATGATGCTGCTGATGATGATGGTGATGGTGATGGTGATGACGATGGTGATCATGATGATAATGATGGTGATGCTGATGAGGATGCTGATGCTGATGCTGATGCTGATGATGACAATGATGATGATGATGATGATGATGATGATGATGATGATGCTGCTGATGATGATGATGATGATGATGATGAGGATGCTGCTGTTGATGAGGATGATGAGGATGCTGATGATGATGATGATGACGATGATGATGATGATGATGATGATGATGATGATGATGATGATGATGATGATGAGGATGATGATGATGATGATACTGACGATGTCGTTGATGCTGATTGTGCTGCTGCTGCTGATGACGATGATAATGATGATGATGAAGAAGAGGATGTCGATCTGTTTTGGGGTGATTCGTCCGCTTAGCAGTGCTCGAACCCCCGTCTCGGGGTCTCTTGGGTGCCTTTTGGCCCTCTGAGGGCTCGCTTGGTCCGTTTGACGCCGTTGTAGACCGTGTTCGGGGCCTGTCTGGGCCGTCTTGGGGCGCTCTAGGGCCGTCTTGGAGGTCTCAGGCCGCCTTGGGACCCTCTTGGCCCCTTTTGGGCTCTTCTAACCTGGGGTCGTCCTGGGTCTATGTTTGGCCGCCTTCGGCTGTCTGCAACCCGATTAGGCCACAACGCTTTGTCCACAACGGTGCCCACTACGTCTCGCTGGGCTTGCGCATCCTTAGAGCCACGGCTATGGAGCCAAGTTCACAGGCGCACGCTTGCATCATTGACTTGCTTGCTTGCTTGCCAGGATGCCTGCTCCCCTCTCATCGCCTCCCCTGGATGTCCCTGGAGGTCTACGGAGAACTCTGGAAGCCTCTGGGAGCATGTGGAGGCTTTCCAGCGGCCCTTGGAGGCCTGCGGAGAGAGCCGTCATTGTCCGGAGACCTTGGCCCCCCTCCGCTCCTCCTGGAGCGCCTTCGGGCTGAGGACTGGGCCTTGCGGGCGGCGTGGAGCGCCTCACGCCTCCCCACCTCGCCAGCACCTCCCTTGCCCCCAGGCCTGTGCGTGGTCGGGAACGTTGGCGACAGCGAGGCGCGGGCGGGTGGAGCCGCAGACGCGATGTCTTTTTTATTGTTGTGTGCGTGTTTTTTTATGAGGTGTTGTTTCTTGTCGATGTTGATGGTGATCTTGATGGTGTTGTTGTTGTTGGTGTTGGTGTTTTTTGTTGTTGTTGTTGTTGTTGTTGTTGTTGTTGTTGGTGTTGTTGTTGCTGTTGTTGTTGTTGTTGTTGGTGTTGCTGTTGCTGTTTTTGTTGTTGTTGTTGTTGTTGTTGTTGTGGTGGTGGTGTTGTTGTTGTTCTCGCTGTTGCTGTTGTTGTGGTTGTTGTTGTTGTTGTTGTTCGAACAGTGTGCCCCTTGCCCCGGGGTTTACAACAACAGCGGCTCCCGCCTGAGACCTCCTCATCAGTTCTTTCAAAATCGCACTCTCGAGCGGGACGCCCTCATAATTAATCCAGGAATCATGCTCTCGCGTCGTACTTCCCCACAGTTTGTTGCGGCGCCGTGCCCCCAATACTCAGGAATCACGCTCTCGCTTCGGATTGCCTCACGATTCATTTGGGAATCGCGCTATCGCTCGAAGCTTCCCTGACGTTAATGTTGGACTGACGCTTCAGCGACCCGTCCGCTCGACCTAGCCGTGGGGCCCTCCCGCCCGGGGTGATGAGGGAGGGAGGGAGTCTCGTGGGGTCATCCTGTGGCCCTCTCGCGGCCACCTCGATGAGAAGGTAGAATGGGGGGGGGCTGTGGGGAGGGGCGACGATCGAACGAACGAACGAAAGACGAACGACGAAAGCAAACGTCGCTGATCTCCAGAGCACAACTGCGCAACTTGGCAAAGTTTCCCTCTTGCCCTATGGGCTCCCGCGATCCCCCTTTGACCCTCGAGTCTCCTTTCGCTCCCCTCCGAACGCCTCGGCCCTCGATCTCACTCCCCTCCCAGATCCCCGAGTCTTTTTCCCCCCATCCCCACCACCCACCACAACACCTCTTCCTCCTCCTCCTCCTCCTCCTCCTCCTCCTCCTCCTCCTCCTCCTCCTCCAGGCGGCCCGAGGCCGCCCAGCAGCGCACCAGCCGCCTATCGACACAAGCAACACATCACACGAGCAGTGGGCCCGATGTTCCCTTCTCGTGAATAGAGCCGCACGGCGGCGGCGCTGCCCCGCGAATCTCATGGGCGGAGAAAGTGGATTATTGAGAGCAGTATGCTACAACCCGTGTGCTGCCAGGACGACGGAGCGGCTGAATGACATTGTGCAGGCGCTGCCGAACAGAGACATCTACGCGCTCGTGGGCACACAAGCAAAGTCGTATGGAGAGCAGATCAATGAGACTCGTCTGATCGACCGCACCTGGGTGATAGAGTTTGGGCATAGGCGAAGTGCATATGTCACAGCATCTTGTGGTATCACGTTTCTTATCAAGAGCTCAAGGTTTCCAATATCCACGTTAAAGCGGGTATATCCTACACCAGCGTTGTTGTGGGGACGGTGTGCTGCTGCCAGTTTTCAGACGAGATCTGAAACTATTTGAATTATCGCGCTGTATTTTCCCCCTCGGCAGACATCGGCACAGTTGCGCAAGACCTACGAGGAGGCCTGTCAGAAGATGGTGCAGTGGTTTCAAACAACGTTGGAATAAATGTCACGCAAACAGATTACCCCTTTTGTATTTATGAACTTGAACGGGGGGCTCCCCTCGTCAAAATACGACAGAGTAGCTGGACCATGTGGGTATGGCAAGGAAAGCTACTCGTCTTTGCAGCTACGTCCGCTTCTGGATGGATGGGGCCTGACTGCAGCCAACACTCATTATGTGAACCCCCCGGGCTACGTCGGCAACAACAACGCCAGCTACATAGATCACATATGTATTCCAGTGGAGATGGTTGGATCTGTCGAGCGTTGCAATGTACTATGTGAGGCAGGAAGAAGGCTACACTTACATGACGTTGGTGAAGTACGTGACCACAGGCCTGTGCAACTGGTTGTTAGGCTTGTAACAGCGGTGCGGCCACTTCCTGAGAGGGCTCCGCGCCCCAATCGTGAGGCGCTCTTCTGCTGCCTGCAGCAGGGGCACATGAGGCAGGAAGTGTTTTATGTTATGGAAAGGAAATGCGAGGAGCATTACAATTTTCTGAACGAGCTTGAGGCGCAAAAAAAACTGGAGCTGATGAATGAAACCTTTGTGAATATTATGAACAGTTCGTTAGTGGAAGTACTACATACGAGCCCTCTCTACACGGAAGATCGCCTGAATCAGACCGCACTAGCTGAATCAGTTGTTATTGAAAAGGAGAGAATTGCGTTATCAGCGGTCATGGGCGTCCACAACAGATCAGATCGAAGTCCTATCCAACGCAATCAAGCAGGTGAGCAAAGAGCTGAAGCAGTCCAACCGTCAGTACTGGGACGCAATCACAAAGAGGAGATGCGACGAAATGCGAAGGGCTGCCGAAGACAACAATGGGTATCTCGTGCAACGACTTGCTCGGCTGATTGTTGGACGAAAAAGAGGTCCACGACAAAGAAAGTTTGCAGCGATACCCACATCGACGGCAAGCGCAGCAGGATGGTGCGCCAGGATGAAGTTACCCAGTTCGAAAGGAGGATGTTCTGCTATTGAGGCGGGCGTTGATTCTGTCATAAGCGAAGTGACTGCAGAAGGACGAGAAGTTCTCACTGATGAAGAAGCTATGGGGTTATCTACGGATGATTGGAATGGTATGCATAAAACAATATGGCGGATGAAGTTTTGAAGGGCGTATCCAGCATGGTCGATGCCTGTGGAAGCGCTACGACTCATCATGAAGCCCAAGTGTGTTAATCCTCGACGACCGCGACCGCAGGTAGGTATGGGAGCTGATATGAGTGAGTTCAATGCCCCAAATATCACTCATGGGCTCCTTCGGGCCATCCTTTTTCTCTCGCGCAAGTTGCAGCGGGCGCCGCTCGTGTGGCATGCAGCTCAGGGCGCTCGCCTTCCGAAGGGCAACGACAAAATCGAGGTTGACGGCGAGCGGGTTATTATGATTATGTGTACCATAGGTAGAACATATCACGTTGCAGCCTTGAGAAGGAAGCTAGCCCCATGGCAGCCAGAAGAGTGGATTCAAAATGTATTAAAAAGAAGACGACGGGAAGCTGCCATGGGCACGCAACTTATTTACTTGTTTCGATTGCAGGCTGCAGCCGTATCACACTTGGTAAGGTTTCACGATGCCACCAATGCTTTCTTCAGCTTGAAACACGAGAAGGTATTTGACATTTTACCTACGCCGTATGCCAATCAAGATCTCCAATTTGCGCGAGATCGAGTATTGCGTGGAGTTTTTCTTTTGGAGGACGAGTCAGGCACTTTTTGGATGCGACCGTCCGAGGGAGTCTTCCCTGGTGATGTTGGGGCCACTCTGATCTTTGCGAGAACGTTCAGCCCACCAGTTCAGATTGCGGTGGCTGATCTCTTTGTGATTGAAAAATGGTTTCACGCAGTCGAGGTAGAACCGCCTTGGGAAGGCAGTTTCACCCAACAGAAGGCACTAACTGGGTTTGTGGATGATCTACCATGTAAAGTACTTGAAGCACAGTATCCAGGCGCGATAATTGACAAGTTGGAGCTAGACAGTCGTCTTGAGAATTTAGCGATCGACAAGGGAATGGGGGGGGTTGGTGCTTCACAAAACACTAACCAGCAGGAGAACGTAGCATATCTTCGAGGAACAGGAGCGCATATAGCAGCACGTCTTGTACACAAGCATGGCACTACAATAGCTGGGCGGACTAAACACCATGCGCGATACCTTGGAGGATTACAGGCTAGCAGTTTTACGCCTAAACCCGCATTGGGAAAAAGATTACTGGCTCTTCAAGCTAGTTACTTCTCAATGGGAAGATTTTGGAGGTCTCCTGGAAACTTTGGGGTAAAGCGTTCCATGGTAAAAGGGCTATTGGTGAAGGCAGCGCTCAGCGGGCCCGGGGTGTGCGTCAAAGGACATCTACCTCTCACAAGTGGAGACTTGGCTCCGCTTGAAGGTTTCATTGTGCGCAAATGTCGCGCAATCCTTGGCGGCGCAGCGGCCTGGGATGAGGACAAGCAGCGCGTCGGTACCATAAGCGGACTTGAGGTGCTAAAAAAGTTCCGACTCGCTCCCCTGTTCACAGAACTGCGCATCAGCAGATTGAGGTGGTTGCAAACCATGGTGCAGGATCGTGATCAACATATTCAGATCTTGACCACCTGCTTTGGGAGGTCTGCTATCGACGGTTTTTTTTTTTTTTTTTTTTTTTTTTTTTTTTTTTTTTTTTTTTTTTTTTTTTTTTTTTTTTTTTTCTCTCTCCCTCTCTCTCTCTCTCTCTCTCTCTCTCTCTCTCTCTCTCTCTCTCCCCCGAAGAAGGGGGCGGTGCGGCCCTTTGCACATCCGTGGGCCGTCCAGTTTCAAGATGACTTGGAGGCGCTGAAGGAGTTGGAGGCGGGGGGGGGGGCTATGTGGGACATTGGAGGGGGCATGAAACACATCAGGTTTGAGGACTACGGGGGTTTCATAAAGGTTGATTGTGATGAACTACGAGCAAAGTTTCTAACTACGCCTACTACGAGCACACGCAAGAAAAGCACATCACGAGGGCAAGTTCATATGCGAAGAAACTCTGACAGATGGGACCATATGTAACACGGCATGGCCCACGCAACACATGTTGACTAAGCGCATCGTGAACGCAGTAGGGGGTAGTCATGGGCAACTACATGTGGGACGTATTCTGACTACTACAAACATGTGCGTGTTGTGCGACAGCGTGTTCTTGAGTGCCGAGATTGCAAAACAAACATATTGCCGACAGTCTCAAGCGCCAATGCTGTCCATGCGATCGCGGGAGGTATGCGCGTGAAGTTCAGCCCCCAAAAAGCATGGCGTGCCCTATCTGTGACGAGCTTTTTGGCTGTATGGAATCGTGGTTCAAGCACTGTCGTGAACACTTGGAACCGTACCTCTCTCCCTCTTTTCATGTTCGTCAGTTGAAGAAGCACGAAACAGC